GGGGGGGGCGCAAATTTCTCAGTTTGATGCCACTTTTTGGTCTTAATGATGATACCATATAGATGGTGGACAAACTAAGCGATGAGTACTAACTGCATACTACTACTATATCCTGGAAACTTAAAATCTGTGAGGGGTGAAACTTTTTGGTTTGGGTGAGTGGGCAAGCAATCGGCTTCTGATACTTTTTCAGGTTCTGTTCATTGACAAGCAATTGTCATGTAAATAATGTGTCTCCCCATCATATCTCCGTATGTTGCAATTACTGTCGTTCCTGATTTTTTCTGGTTTGGTCTAGGGATAAAATTGTGGACTTTCACTGGAATGCATCGGATCCATGGACTATTGTTAGTGTATCTGATGACTTGGAGACCTCTGGTGGAGGCGGCACACTACAGGTTTCATAATCATTCATGTTCTGCCATTTTCAGTATAATTTAATCTGCCTCTAATTGTTAAATTGGATCTTAAACAGATATGGCGCATGAGTGATTTGTTGTACCGACCAGAGGAGGAAGTTTTGGCTGAGCTGCAACAGTTCAAGGACCATGTGAGCAAGTGCGCTCCCAAGCCCTAAGCCTGAGGTATTTTTACGCAATGGTGCTTCCAAAAGAAATGTAATAGTAGGCACTAGAGTACACCATATGAGTTGTTAGCAGTATCTGTAATAGTTGAATGGATTTAGCTTTTGGACTAATGATGTTTGCCCGTAGCGAAATATGTAGGAGCTATGCTTGAACTTATTATAAGCCAGTAGATGGTAAGCAGTAAAGTAGCCGAGACTGTAGAGCATGATGTTGTATGTATTGTGCGGTATTTTGCTACTTGGATGTTTGACGTTCTTATATTGTGAAATCATGGTGTGTTCTGTTTGGACTTGTAAGGATCAGGTCTCTTATCTGGGAGAACGCCAGAAGTTACATCCATTCTCGGCGAAACAGCCATAAAACCTTATGTTCTGTGGCACCAGATGCAAAAACCTTCTTTATTGGGTACTCCCTTCAGTTCTATTTATTGGGAAGTTACATGATATACTCATTTGTAAAACTCACTTTCAAGATATACCTAAGTTTTGAAATTACGTCAAATATCCCAAGAATATTCCACGCTATACCTCCATATATTCTAAAATATATCACTTTGGAATACAATTCACACCTACCTTATCATAATATTCTAATTTGGCATACAATATTTTAACTAAATAGATCATAATATTTTAATTTGGAATATAATATTCAAACTAAATATACCACAATATTCTAATATAAAAAATTCAAACCTAGCTTACCACAATATTCTAATAAAGCGTACAATATTCAAATTAAACATATCATAATATTCTAATTTGAAATATAATATTCAAACTAAATATGCCACAATATTCTAATTTGAGAAATTCGAACCTAGCTTACCATAATTAATATTCTAATAAAGAGTACAATGCCCAAACCTAACATACCACATTATTCTAATGAAGAATACAATATTTAAATAAAATATACTACTCATAATATTCTAATTTGGAGTGCATTATTCAAATTAAACATCCATAATATTCTCTTTTGGAATATAGTATCCAAACAGAATATTTCATAATATTCTAATTTGTAATACGATATTCAAACAAAACACACCGCAATATTCTAATTTGGAATACAATATTCTAACAAAACGTAATGCAGTATTCTAAGTTGGAATACAATATTCAAACCAAATATACTATAATATTCTAGTTTGGAATATAGTATCCAAACAAATCATAGGATAATATTTTAATTTGGAATGCAATAGTCAATCTAAACATGCTACAATATTCTAATTTGGAATACAATATCCAAACCAAATATATCACAATATTCTAATTACGAATACACAGTATTAAATTTTAGAATATAGTAGATATACATGGTAAAATAAATTTATAAAGCAGGTATACAAAGTAAAAAAAATATTTTAATTCTATATGGTGTAAACTGATATTTTCAAACCGCGTAGATTATTCTTCTTATCACTTTTGCTAAAAATAACTGTATCAAAATCCTTGTTTTAGATAATCAATATTAATTATATTTTTTCCGTTTTAACTTACTAGTCTAATTAATGTTCTAGAAAAAGAAGTACAAAGATTGGGAGATTAAAAAACAAATTAGAGTAATTTAGTCAAATAGCTCTAACTATTAATGTTTCTTAAAGGTTTTGCAAAAGACTTAAGTCAAGTAAATAGGATAGTAGGTAATTGGTGTTTGGTTAGGAAGCTAGGATCTTAATGGTGGCAATTTGAGATCCGAACGTCATTTGTTTTTACATGTCATTAAATCACCATTAAGGCAGCATTAAATAATTGAACCAACTCATCCAACCACAATATTATTAAACTAAGTGCCACATAGAAACGGACTACACGTTTATGTCGATCATAATAAGCTACAACCTAACATTTGGTGGCAATAATATTCTCATATAGAATTGCAGCTGCCCGTCATCATGGTCAAAAGGGTGCAGATAGAGTTTTATTCAACAACCTGGAATTCTCTGTTTCATTAATGAAAATATTTTATTTGGAAAAGACCTGTCAAGCTCCTGTGTCCTACTAAGGGCTCGTTTGGTATGAGGGATAAGGGATAATTAATCCCGAAATTAAATTTGAAATGAGTTTATGTCATGTTTGTTTGGGATAAAATCGTGGTATAACTAATCCTGGGATTAGTTATTTCGGGATTGTAGTATTTTTTTATTCCTATGGGAGGGTGGGATAAGTAATCTTAGGATAACTAATCCCGAGATAATTAATCATGAGATAACTTATTTCCCAACGACACTGACCCCTAAGCGTTCTATTACGTTGTGTACTACTAAAAAAGTGTAAATTGTCTCTTATGTCCACTAAAAATTTGAATAGAAAAAAATAACCTTACACAGATCTCTTGGTGAAAAATGACACGTCACCATCTTTGTAGGCAAGGGCATAGCCTAAATTAGAGACAAGTGAATTTGAAAATTGCTAAAATGTCAGGGTTGAGATAAATTCCTAGTTAGACTTGACAATATTTTCTCTTATTTCCATACACCAAAACTCTTTGGCCTTGAGTCCAGAGCTTTTAATTAGGATCTATTAGCCAAGGTTAATGATGTTTACGTTGCGTTAGCTCAGGTTTAATCAGCTATTGGAAGAATAATGAATGCTGCTTGCTAATTTAGTAGGACTTGCTGACTAGGATGCTGACATGGACAAAATATTAGAGGAGTCAGCTGCTACAATAGAGGACCGTTAGGGCTAGAGGCAATTGTGATAAGTTTGTTAACAGTATGGGTTGATTTGAACGAAAAATATAACGAAGACAGAATATAAACAATATACCATAGTAGAGGCGTGTGTGCGGACCTTTTCCCCCACAAATAAGAATATTTTCCTAGTTGACCAAGGCCTACAATTTGTACTTATGATCCAAATCTTCTGATTTTGCAGCTTTGCTTTCTTTTAGTAAAGGACAGAAAAAAAGTAAATTCTGATTTTGACTTTGCGTACGTTAAAGTTGTACTGAACGAGTAGACCACCGGTTGCTTCCTGGAAATTTCAGAAGTCACTTTTTTGGGTTTTCCCTTTGTCCTGCCAAAAGCATATTGCTTCCCTTGGTCATTTTTATGGGATGCTATTTTGGCCAAGTTCAAAATAATAAGCATAATATTGATGGTAAAAAGTTAATGTAATAGGGGCATTTGCATCTATACCCGCTTTTTGTGTCACGTTTTAATTTGTGCATGCTTTGCAAAAAAATTTGCAAGCGTACCCGCTTTTTCGCATAACTTCAGCATAAGGGGCTGAAGTAGCAAAGGCAACCACGCAAAACTTCAGCATTCTAGTAGCCGGGCCTGAAGTTCAGCTCTAGAGCTGAAGTTTTTGTTTTGTAACTGGCGAACTTCAGCTCTAAAGCTGAAGTTTTTGTTTTGTAACTGGCGAACTTCAGCTCTAGAGCTGAAGTTTTTGTTTGTAACTTAGAGATGAAGTTTTTGTTTTTGTAACTGGCGAACTTCAGCTCTCGAGCTGAAGTTTTTGTTTTGTAACTCGCGATGTTTTTGTTTTATAACTGGCGAACTCAGCTCTAGAGCTGAAGTTTTTGTTTGTAACTGGCAAACTTCAGCTCTAGAGCTGAAGTTTTTGTTTTTGTAACTGGCGAACTTCAGCTCTAGAGCTGAAGTTTTTGTTTTGTAACTGTAGAGCTGAAGAGCTGAAGTTTTTGTTTTTGTAACTGGCGAACTTCAGCTCTAGAGCTGAAGTTTTTGTTTTGTAACTGGCGAACTTCAGCTCTAGAGCTGAACTTCAGCCATACAAGTTTCATAAATATCAAGGTCCTATGTAATTTCTTATACAACGGGGTTCTGACTTGGATCTTTAAGAGAAATCTCAATAAGCGTACATCCAAAAATTAAAATAATCATCTCCCAAGTCTTAGTAAATTTTAATATCTGTTGTACCAGTTACGAGGTTTTGTTTTCCTCCTGGGCTTGGCATCGAGGAAAGTCAGAACAACGTGAGAAGAAGTTTTAGGTCTCCCAAACAATTGTCAGTTTTTCCAACACTCGTGCATTCTTCAGAAAGAAGAAGAAGAAGAAGAAAACGAAGGAGGAGAAGGGGGAGGAGAAAGGGGGCTGTAGTTATTTAAAAAGTGGGTACAAGTTAAAAGTTTTAAAAAAAATGGGTGTAGGTTAAATGGGGGCGACCAAATAGGGCGCCCCGTGCAATTTACATGTAATAGTTGAGAAATTAGAGCCCCTTTGGACATACAATCTTTTTTTCTTTTTTTCAAATTTTTTTTTGAAAACAAATGTTTGATTATCCCATTCTTACCAATTTTTCCTTTTTCACTTGAAAATGGGAATTTGCTAGTTTTTAATTTTACCAATTTACCCAATTTTTTTAAAATTTATAAAATGACCCCATCAGTTTTTCATCTTTGGCAGATACATCTTTGGCGACTGATGGTGGAACATCAGTCCTAGTTGATTTTGCATCTTCTGTGTATTGCAGTAAAGCAGAATATGATAACAATTAAACAATAGCATTTTGATTGTTTATTTCAAGTAGGATAATCAAATTGGGATGGTTTTGATATTTTTACAAGTTGTGGGGTATAAATCATATTTCATGATTTTGAAATATAAAACATCCAAATATATTGCAAAAATTATAACCAAACACAACTTCATCTTCAATTCAAATTTTAGTGAAATTCCAAATTTAAATATTTTTTTTGGAATTCATGTCCAAACGCCTACTTAGTGTGCTAACATTTGAATAATTTATTGAATTTGAACTCTCAAAAATGGTTTCAAATATTTTGTAATTTCAAAATGATAGCAGTATCATATAAATTTAAATAAAAAGAGTAGTGTAAAGAAGGTTTATATTGAAGTAAACATTTAACATTATTTTTGATAATTAAACAACGATTGACCCCATAATCACATCATGAGCAACCAACACTTTACTCATCCTTCATTGTTATGTTTTCCACTCTATGTCTAATAATCGAATTGAGGTACGTGCCGAGAAGTTCTATATTGAGGGTAAAATGTTCGCTAATAAAAATTTGAATACGAAACCTCTAATTAAGAACGAATGAGTACTAATTTCGTAACTTCTAATTCTATTAAATTCGCTTAAATTAAGTAGAGTCTGATATGGAAAACCAAATACACTCCTCCGGTCCACTTTAAGTAAATTTTTGGCTGTTTTCACACATATTAAGAAATTTACCTTTTAGCATTAATTAATAATGAAATTAATCATATTAACCTTAATTTGCTCATTGGAAAATAGTATAACAAATTACTTCTAGACTCTTACTCCAATGATAACTTTGGAAAGAAGAAGTTAATTCC